TATTGATGAAAATTTGGGAGAAAAAACATTAATCTATCATCCAGTCTTTCCAAAAATATTTATTAGTAGGCTGGGGGTATAGCTCAGTGGCACATTGCCTGCCCGGCATGCGCAAGGTCCTGAGTTCAATTCGCGGCACCAAAGAAACAAAACAAAACAGAAATATATATTAGTGTTACCATTATTATGTTTTCCTTTTGTTTTTGGAGGCAAGTTTGGTTACCAACTAGAACAATAGATTCAGTAATAAGATTTAAAGGAAAGGTTATAGACCAGCACTTAATAAGTGCATAAAAGATCCAGTGAAAATGTCAGTATAATTTAGGAGAATGGATGTACTTGATCTTGTTTTGCTCAGTTTTTCAGAAAGTGATACATGAAGTCAGTTTTTATTCTCTTTTTTTTTTTTTGGTGGTACCGGGGATTGAACCCAGGGACTCAGGCATACTACATAGATAAGCACTGAGCTACATCCCCACCCCTTTTTATTTTGTTTTTCTATTTATTTACTTCTCTGTGTGTTACTGAGGCTTGAACCCAGGGCCTTTGCACTAGCTACCTCTCTCTAGCTCTTTTTAATTTTTTTCTTTAAACATTTTTTAGTTTGTATGTGTGTGTGACTGTAGATTGAATCTGGGGCCTTTGCTCTGTGCCCAGAGCTTTTTTACTTCTTGTTTTGATTCAGGGTCTCACTAAATCAGAGTTGACCAGGCTGGGCTCAAACTTGGAATCCTGCCTCAGCCTCCTAGAGTGCTGAGATTACAGGTGTGGGCCATCATGCATAGCTGTATTCTTTTAAAACATACTTTTAAAAAATTTGCAATACACTCTTAGATCTGTCAGGTGGAAAAAAGGGAATACAGAAAAATAACGCTCCTAAATCGTGGTGCTCGCTGCCTACCGAAGAGTCACTTTTACGGTGCCTTGGGTTAGGCTGACACCTGGTTGAGTGGTGGTTTCTTTATTTACTCGCCTTCTGCCACAGCTTACTGCACCTGGTTTGAGCGACCAAATGCTTGAAATAAAGCAGATTTATCATCTAGTAGAAAATGGACTCTCCTTTTATATAATCACTACTGTTTGTGCTTATTTTACATACCAAAAAGCCAATCTGTGACTACTGTAATTTATGACATTAAAAAAATCTTTAACTACTATGAAGTAACTTAAAAGTTTTTTTCATATCCACTAGCCCATCTATTCAGATTATCTTCCTGCAGCAAAAAGGATGTGTGTGTGTGTACCATATTTGAAAATTGCTGTATTACATGACCAATCGGCAAAGTGTTTGGTCTTCCAGTGAATAAGCTGAGGCAGGAGGCTCGCTGTGAGTTCAAGGCCAGCCTGAACAAAACAAAACAAAACAAAGACCAGCCTGAGCTACGTAGTGAGACCCTATTTCATCTTTTTTGGGGGGGTACTGGGGATCGAACTCGGGACCTTGCACTTGCAAGGCAGGTGCCAGAACCACTGAGCTAAATCCCTGGCCCAGTGAGGCCCTATTTCTAAAAAACAAAATAGGGTTGGGGATTTAGCTCAGTGGCACCACACCTGTCTTGCAAGTGCAAGGTCCTCCGTGTGATCCCTGGTACCAAAAATGAAAAGTAAGTAACTGATTTTATTGACATTTATTTGGGTCAATGTAACCATTTTCATTAAATCCATACTTTTTCAAAAAAAGAGAAGGTAAAAACACTCTACCCACACTATTTCTCAGGCTCACTCTCACCTTTTTTCTTGAATCACCAACAGCATATTTTTATTAATTAAGCCATTTATTTATTCACTGTGGTACTGGGGATTGAACCTGGTGCCAGGGCCTTCACATTGAGCTACATCCCCAGCCCTTTTTTCTAAGTATTAATTTTGAGAGAGGGCCTCACTAAATTGCCCAGGCTGGGCTTGAATTTGCGATCCTCTTGGTGCAGTCGTTCAGAGTTCTGGGATTATAGGCAGGTGCTGCCACACCCAGCAAAGTGTTTCCTTTTATAAGGGTCAACATTAAATGACATAAATTTATGCTTTTTTATTTAAAGAAAACCCTTCTGAATTACAATCTTTTGACTAAAATGCTAAAATCTAAAGTCATGCCAGGTATGGTAGTACACACCTGTAATCTTAGCACTCTGGGAGGCTGAAGCAGGAGGGTCACAAGTTTGAGCTTAGCTTGGTCAATTTAGTGAGACTGTCTCAAAGTAAACAAAGGGCTGTGGATGTAGCTTAGTGTTAAGGTCTTGGATTAAATCCCCACTCCTGCAATCAGCCAATCAATCATCAAGCAATCAAATTAAGAAAACACTAAAATAAGTAAAATCTGAAGTTAGAGCTGTTTTTCAAGTTCATTTGGCAGAAGTGGGAAGGAAGTTGCTTTGGGTTACGTTTTCCTAATAATTACCTGTGACATAATTAGCATAAGAAAACTTAGTGATTAATATGTCCAAAATCAAAGTGGATGGTAAAGGGTGTTGTGGACACTTTGAACGCTGGAGAGAAACCTTGGGAACATAAGTGGACAGGAGCCACCATTGCCTTGCATGTTTTGATGACCTAACATCATCTTGGAAAACAGAGTTCTAGCTACTAATTTTGTAAGAAAAATCTTAAAAAACAAAAAACAAAGCAGTTTTTTTTTTGTTTTTTTTTTTTTTAAAAAGAAGGATTTATAAGTATCCACTCATCCAAATTTTTAAAATTGTATCTACATTCTCTTTGGGTCTCTGGTCAATTGCAAGCATTTTTACATACTTGTAAACATAGTGATTTTTCATCCTACTTATTTTAACTAATGTGTTATAAGTATGTTCTCTAAAATGCTTTGTAATTTGTTTTATAAAAGGACTTGTCATTTAATAGCTGTATAATCTGTTCAGTGTACTACCATAATTTAAATGTTGCATTATTGTTGATTAGATTTTCTTTTTTAAAAAATTTAAGTAACAGTGAAGTTATGTTTTCAAGGTTGTATTTTAGAGAGATTTCATTGGGAAGAGAATGAAATAGAGAGCAGTTGTTTTAGATTTGTGACTTTTATGTCAGATAATATAAAGGTATATTTTGTTTTATAAATACTAAACCATTTTATTTTTTACTGTATACTGCATTGGAATTTAACAGTATTGGCTTAACCCAAGGAGTTGGAATAAATCTACTTTATTACCTTTAATTTATTCTAGGTGAGAAGTAAACTAAAATCTTAACTTTATCTCAATATAATTTTGCGATAATTTGTTTGCTATATTATATATTATGGTATATATGCCTTAAATAAGCACCCAGACACATTTACTGAATTGCCAAGTTACAGATCTTCAATTGAGCTCAGTATTTTGTAAATTCCATGAGGGCAGGGAATTTCCATCTGTGTACCATAGTGATTTGTGGGTAGGGGCTCAGTGAATATTAAATTGAGTTAAAAATATTAAGTGGAGTTAATGAATGAATATTAAAAACATTTTATGTAATGTTCCTCATTGACTGAAGTAACCCTCTAAGAGTTGGGTTTTGTTGGCTTGGGGATTTAGCTCAGTGGTTTCGTCACCTGCTGCGCAAGCACAAGGACCCGAGCTCCATCCCCGTTACCAAAAAAAAAAGTTGGATTTTGTAGTCAGAATGTTGGGAAGCATGGAACGGTGATAATTCCATTCTGAGCACTTAAGGTAGTAATACTTTTTTTTTGGTACCAGGGATCAAACTCAGGACCTTGCACTTGTGAGGCAGGTTCAGCACCACTGAGCTAAATTCCCGGCCCTAAGGTAGTTCTGCTTTTAGTGCTTCATAGTTTAGTGATAATGTTTGCTCAGTGCTGGAGACAGGTGCAAGATCCACAGATTACTGAGTTTTATTAAATAAGTCAATTAGTGCCATAGTTTTGTCATCCTGAAAGTAATTTTTCCAAGTACCACATGAGTTTGTTTTTTGTTTTTCTTTTTTTGGTACCGGGGATCGAACTCAGGACCTTGCATTTACGAGGCAGGCATGGTGCCACTGAGCTAAATCCCCGGCCCAAGTTTGTTATTTTTGAAAAAAACTTTCCAGGTATATTTAAATGGGAAACTGACAAAACAGCCTTTCATATGTGATGTTACACGTGCTTGTATTAGAAGTGACTAATATAAAACTTTTTGTTGTGTCATTTTCTTTTGCCTTTTGAGACAGAGTCTCACTGTGTAGTCCAGGCTGGCCTCAGACTCACAGGGATCTTCCTGCCTGAGCCTCTTGAGTACTGGGACTACAGGCATGGGCTACTATGCCAAGCTCGAATATTAAAAAAAATTTAGTTCTTTAAAGATGATTGTTGTACATGTTTGTCCTATCTGTAAAGGTGTCAAGTGGTACACTTATGTATGTGTACCTGACTGCTGCAGCTTGACAGATGGGTTTCCTTTTCTTTTTTTTTTCTTTTTTGAGAGAGGGTCTAAATGGCTTGGATTTAGGCTCAAACTTGTGACCTTCTGGCCTCAGCCTCCCAGAATGCTGGAGTTACAGGCAAGCACCATCATGCCTGGCTTCTCCATGGCGTCCGTAACATGAGTTGGTAGTTGGCTCAGTTTTAAAAAAGACTTCATTGTATACGGGATCTCTGTGTTAGGCTTTGACTGTTAAAATTTAATAAAGTTGGGTGTGGTGACATGTGTCTGTAATCCCAGCGCTTAGTAGACTGAAAGGCAGTGAGTTTGAGGACAGTTTGGGCTACATAGCAAGACTTTGTCCTAAAAAAACAACAACTAGCAATTGTAATAGCGATCTCACCAGGTGTGGTGGTGCACCCTGTAATCCCAGCCCTTGGGAGGCAGAGGCAGGAAGATTGCTGTGAATTCAAGGCCAGCCTGGACTATATAGGGAGACCGTGTCTCAAAAAAAAGGAAGTAACAATCTCATTGTAGTAGCTTTTCTGTCTTTACAGGCAATTTGTGGCATATCTTATACCAGAGCTTCAATGTAGAATGCTGAAAATTGTGTATTTTGCCAGTGCTAATGTTTTCTTTGTATTTCTTTTATAGAAAAAGATGGCAAAGCCTTTCATCCAACTTACGAAGAAAAGTTGAAGCTTGTGGCACTGCATAAGCAAATTCTTATGGGCCCATATAATCCAGACACTTGTCCTGAGGTTGGATTCTTTGATGTGTTGGGAAATGACAGAAGGTAACATGTTCTGTTGTGTAGCAAACAAAAAGAGATCATTGTTGAGAAAGGGCACAATATAAATAGCTGGCTCCTTAGAATAAGAACCGAAACTTTTATTTACTTACTTACTTACTTATTTATTTTTTTGAGATAGGGTCTCACTGTGCATCCCAGGCTGGCCTCTAACTCATGGCAATCCTCCTGCCTCAGCCTCCTGAGTGCTAGGATTATAGGTGTGTGCCATCACGAGATACAGTTTCATTTGATTCTCCTCAAAAATATTAAAAACAGGGCTGGGGATATAGCTCAGTGGCTCCGCTGCCTGCTTTGCAAGCACAAGGTCCTGAGTTCAATCACTAGCACCAAAGAAAAAAAAAAGAAAAATATTAAAAAAACCCATTTCAAATATGTAATGATGGATTCCCTTATTGAAACATGGAAAATTGTGCCAGAAGAGAATATATTGAATATTTTATTCAGTTAAAGGTAAAATATGATGAAAAAAAGATAAAATATGATATAAAGAAAAAATGTTAGTACCTTTTTGCTGTATGGGAATTATTAGCAATGCAGTTAAATTTGGATTGTGTGGGGCATAATCTAACTTAGGGTATGTTTGTTGAAATTTGAGCTGGGCATAGTGGTGCACACCTGTAATCTCAGCATTTGTGAGCCTGAGGCAGGAGGATTGCCACAAGTTCAGGAGCAGCGTGGCCTACATAGTTCAAGACCACTTTGAACTATACAGAGAGAACTTTCTTGGGAAGAAAAACAACTTGAAATTGTGAGCCTTTTGCTTATATTGGAGTCATTCTTCACTGTGGTTATAGTTGAGGATTGTTTGTATTTAGGTTTAAATTAAATCAGGTTCTCATCTTGTTGAGGTAACTTTTCTTATTGCTCCTTACAGGAAGGAGTGGGCTGCCCTGGGAAGCATGTCTAAAGAGGATGCCATGGTACAGTTTGTCAGGCTCTTAAATAGATGTTGCCATCTCTTTTCAACATACGTTGCATCCCACAAAATAGAGAAGGAAGAGCAAGAGAAAAAAAGGTGATGTCTGGGGCAAAGAGTGCTTGTTTTTATTCTCCTCGGTGTGGGGATCGAACTCAGGACCCTGTGCTTGCCAGTCAGGCGTGGTGCCGCTGAACCACGTCCCCGGCCCCAAGGAGTATTTTTGATAGTTTATGCAGAGTGTCTGTCTGGGTTGTGTTTTGCCTTTAATCCTCACTCCTTAGGGCAGTTGTTGAGACTTCCTGAGAGGAGAGGTGATTGTGCTGCAAGTTTGAGGGAGGAGGCGCTGGTGCTGTCCGACTGTCCCTGTAAGAGGAGACCCCTCTTCCCTTGCTGCAGTGTCCATTCTTGCCTGATCACTCTGTTTCTGAGCAGGCTGCCCTGTAACGCACCCCGCCCCCCTTCCCTCGTCCTCATCCGCTGGTCCGACGTGCCCGCCCTCTGTGCTGTCTGCGCTAGCTCCTGGAGCATCCCTACTCTGTGACTTTCGCTGTGCTTCAAGGTGCACGGACGCACGCACGTACATGTTGGCTTTCTCTCCCAGCTCCTTGTTAATTACTTTCAGCGGGTGGGGCAGAAGCTGCGAATGTGCTGTTTATCTTTGAAAGATTCCCCTTTGTAGTCGTGAACTAAGATTACGGTTAACACCTTAAATTTATGTAGTGGTCATATTTTTTTTTTCTTCTTTTTTTGGTACTGGGGATCAAACTTGGGACCTTGTGCTTGCAAGGCAGGCACGGTGCCACTGAGCTAAATCCCTGGCCCAGTGGTTATATTTTTAATAACTGAATTTTTAAAATTCTAGGAACTTAAAATTATGCAGTAAAACCAGTTTTCACTTTGTTCTTTTTTTTTTGGTACCGGAGTAAAACCAGTTTTTCCTTAGATTATATTATACCTTAGAAAGTTGATTTTCTATTTTCCTACCTTAACCTGGATTAGAAATAATAGGTTAGAAAATAGCCTGAGAGTGAGGAAGAAAATAGAAACTGTGAAAAATAGATGGAGGAATTACAAAAGTGTGCCTGCTAGCCAGAGGCTATTACAAATGAAGATAAATGTTGTTGCGATATTGTTACAGCACAGTTTTTATGGTTGTAGTTCTAACCTGAATCATCAAGAGATAGAGCACCAGCTATAGCTTACTCCTGTTTTAAGAGGATGGTAAACAGCTTAATTATATTTTCAGAAAATATTTATCCAAAGTAACTTTTTTTAAATCCAGAGGAAAAAATTCCATTCTTAGAAGAATGGAATACACTTTTTGACTTATGTGCTATAGTCGTGTGGTACTGTTGGATCTGTGAAGTATGGCTATAATGTCTTTGGACTTATGTATATTTGGAAATATATATTTATATATATAAATATATATCCCTTTTAAGTTATTTTAGTAATAATTCAGCTATTTTTCTTAATTAAGCATTGTCACCTTAACATCGATACCTGTTCATCTTAACATATAAAACTACATTTTTCTTTTTAAAAATGTAATTCGGGGGCTGGGGATTTAGCTCAGTGGTTCCGCCGCCTGCCTCAGGTCCCAAGTTCGATCCCAGGTACCAAAAGAAAATTACTTCTGTCATCGTATAAGCTCCACGTAGGACTACTTGAAGGCTTTTAGGTCTTTGGCTTATCCTGGAACCTGAGCCCTGGCTTGTAGAGCTTCCTGCCCTGTGCTGCTGTGACACGTTAAGATTGGTGGCGCTGCTGCTGTATTTTGAGCCTTGCCAGTGACAGCATATGTTGTTAATCACTCAGAGGCCTTGAGGCAGGAGAGTCACCAGACACTTCTCTTGGTGGGACCTGGAAGTGGTGTCTTCCGGAGAGTGTGCAGTTTCCCTGCTCTTCACACTGTGTTTAGACCCCATGAGGTGTCAGCTCCAGGTGTGGTGTCGTCCGTTTTCTTTGGAAAGGGGCTTTTGCGCATAGGCGAGAGCTGGATAAAGGCCGCACTTAGAAGTCCAGTTGTTCTTTTTTTAAATCAGAAACTTTAAATTTTTAAAATTTCAGCAGTAATTCACATACACAGTATAAATGATTTTCCCATTTCTGACAGAATATGAAGCGCACACTGAAATTTTTCCTTTCCATCTTTCTTTTATTTTTGCTCTTTTCATAAATGATAACTGACAAATTTAGAGTATATCCTTCCAGACCTTTTTCTGTGTATTTACCTGCGTTTCCTCAAATAATACCAGCCTTTACATACTAGATCATGTTCTGTCCCTTTTTAATGGCTACGCAGCATTTCGGGTACAATTGCATTTTTGTTCACCTTTGCTAAGTACTTTCCAGCCCTCTGCCAAGCCCCCAGGCTGTGGCGTGAGGCAGTGTAGGCTGGGCAGCCTCTCGGATGTGTACTGTTCGATGTGTGGTGCCTCGTGCATGTGAGGAGAGCACTTTTCCACTGAGCCCCATGCCCACCCCATCAGTACTTATTCGTGATGTGATCTTGAGCATTGTGAGATTGACTCCATGTGATAAGTTTCTACTAGTGAAGTGTATACGATTCAGTTCTTTATTTTGACACAAGGTCTTGCTCTACAGCCCAGGCTGGTCTCGAATGCTTCCAGTCCTCCTGCTCCGGCCCACTGAGTGCCAATATTACAGACAGGTGCCACCGTGCCCGGCTATGTTTCACGCTTTGATAGAGATTGCCACATTGTTGTCTAAAATGATTGTTAATTTTCACTGGGAAATGAAATGGAAATGATTTTTTTGTGTGTGGTACTGGGGATTGAACTCGGGACCTTGCACTTGCGAGGCAGGCAGTGGAACCACTGAGCTAAATCCCCAGCCCACTGGAAATGATTTTTTGTTTGTTTGTTTGTTTTTGCTTTTATTTTTTTGGTACCAGGGATCGAAGTCGGGTCCTTGTGCTTGCAAGGCAAGCGACGGAACCACTGAGCTAAATCCCCGGCCCTGGAAATGATTTTTTAATAAGAGTCCCTGTGTAGAGTTCATTCTCTGTTCTTTACCTTGTAGGAAGGAGGAAGAGGAGCAAAGGCGACGGGAAGAGGAAGAAAGAGAACGTCTGTTAAAGGAGGAAGAGAAACGTAGGCGAGAAGAAGAGGAGAGGCTTAGGCGGGAGGAAGAAGAGAGGAGGCGAATGGAAGAAGAGAGGCTTCGGCTGGAGCAGCAGAAGTAAGCTTGTTGCATGGGTTACGTTTCAAAATGAGAAGCGAGCTGTGCTCATAATACCTGAGTTTTTACCGTTGTGTGCCTTTGAATATTTCTGTGATTTGTATGACTGGGAGGTAGACGACTATTAACTGCTTTTTATTTTTAACAGTGATCTGTTATCAAAGAGGAATGTATTTGGAAGTCTTTGGGATTAATGTGCAAAACCCAGGGACTAGAAGCAGGACCTGGGTTTCTCAGTTGCTTTGTCTGTCTCTACGTCTACATGACCTCTCGTCTTTCCTTCCTAGCTTATGTCTCGGCTGTGTTCTTCCTGATATCTGCAAAGTGCCACTCTGCTTTGATGTATGCAAGGGTATCTCAGCTTGGATTTTTTGTGATTAGTTTTCTGTGCATCTGACAGAGGCAGGCCAGAATCTGAGACCCAGTTAAAAATTCTGAGGACAGAGAATCTAGTTGGTGCAGTCTGTATCAAGTGTCCCTCCCTAAACCCTAATACAGGCCTCAGAGCCTGAAACTATTGCTTACTCAGTAAGGGCTCTGAGAGCAGTTATCTTAGAAAGGATTGATTCTTCAAAAGAGAGCTGTAGGTGCAAGGAGGAAGTGATTAACACCCACTTAGTGCTTGGGGAAAGAAGGCCTGGAGTTCTAGGGTGATGTGGTACATACATCAAACCAGGCATCCTAAGCTAGCCTTACACTGAAGTCCTCGCTCTGCTTTGAAGAGAGACTGTGCACACTGCTCTTTTTTAGGGTGAGGTGCCCTAGCTGGGCCTAGGCTCATGCTCTATTTGTGAATCTGAGCATTTGCTTTGTTATCTGTGTATCTGATTGTTTATTTCTTAATAGATGGCTTTGAGATCTTTAAGTGATCACACAAGTGAGTTATGAAGCGTGGTTTTAATATGAAAGAATTGGGATATGTCACAGAAATAGTTACTTCTGGACCACACCTGCCCGGATACCATTTTCAGTGTTTCCCCGTTAGTAAAGGGAACTTTGAATTAAGTGCCGCAGACTCTCAGATTTTCACTGGCTTTATTTAACCTTGCCAGGGCCACCTTAATATCTTTCAGCTATTCTGCCTCTTCTTATTTTTCATGTCTTTAGGTAGGGGAACCAATAATTAAATGCCATATTTTTGCTACAGATGGCAATCTGTCATTTTACAGTGTGATGATGAATTAGTGGTCTGTGAGCCAGACTGTCTAGATTTGAATCCTGGCTCTGGCATCTACCTGTTCTAGAATCTTGGGCAACTTACTGAACTACCTCTTATGATTGTTGTGAGACTCAGTGGGGTTAGTACATGTATGTGCTTTGAACACTGCCCGGCACAGTAGTTATGATGATAGTGATAATGATGTGCTTATTACTCTTCATCCCAAGTTTGCCTTGAAAAAGTAAAACATTAAAAGCCAGCTGGATGTAGTGACACATACCTGTAATCGCAGCACTTTAGAGGCTGAGGCAGTAGGATCAGAAGTTCAAGACCAAAAAAAAAAAGAAAAAAAAGAAGTTCAAGACCAGGACTTGGGATTTAGCTCAGTGGCACCACACCTGCCTGACAAGCACAAGGTCCTGAGTTTGATTCCTGGTACTGCAGGGGGTTCAAGACCAGTCTGGGCTACATAGTGAGACCCTGTCTCAACAGGAAAAACAAAAACATAACAACAAAAAACAATTAGAGGTCAGGTTTATTTTCCTAAATCTTTCTTCTAGGCTTGGGACACATGCTGATCGTTATACATTACTAGCTTAGTCACGGTTAAGAGTTACAAACTATAAAATACTAAGGACATTTAATTTTGTCATGAACAATCTCCTGTAGTCAGACTAGTGTATATTTTTTAATGTTTTTAGGCAGCAGATAATGGCAGCTTTAAACTCCCAGACTGCCGTGCAGTTCCAGCAGTATGCAGCCCAACAGTATCCAGGGAACTACGAGCAGCAGCAGACTCTCATCCGCCAGCTGCAGGAGCAGCATTATCAGCAGTACATGCAGCAGTTGTATCAAGTTCAGCTTGCACAGCAACAGGTATGATAGACAACCCCAGAATTCAGCCTTAGAGAGGGCTTTTCTTTTCATTGGAACCCGTTTTTTAAGTTACCAATGAATTTTGTATTAGTTAGCTTTGAAGATATAAAGTTGCTTCTAGGTGATCTCTTAGGCAGATGTTAGCAGTCCTGGAACCATGAGGACCAGGGTAGCCTTAATTCAGAGATGCCCTTCAGGCACAGCATTGTCAGTGGGGTGGGCAGCTTCAGAGGAGAACTCTTCTTATCTTAGGTTATAAGCTGTTTCTTATAACACATTCATGTCCAACTTCTACCACTCGGTACTGTGTTTTGCTTCAGTGTAAAGAAAGGTGACTTAGGTGAGAGAATGTGGGACTAGGAGTCTAGTCTGTGAACCTATTTTGTACACAGGGAATATAGTGATTTTACATTGTCTTTTACATCTGCGGAGACACAAAATACTTCCTTAAACTTAAATGTGCTAAGTGACATGTTTTCACTTCAAAATAATTGCCACCTATCAAAAAACTGGAGTGCAGAAGTGTTACATTTCTTATTATATGAAGTAATCTGTGTTTTTTTCTCCAAGATCTTTAAATTCCTTGAAGATATATCATTGAGAAGTTAGAAGCTCTGCACCTTTTGTATAATCCACAAGAGGAGGAAAAGAACATTAAACCAGAGTTCATTCAAGATACTTTTGAGGGATTCTTTTATTTCTTCTATAGTCTGTTTCTACTTTAATATACTGCTTCCCTTTTTTCTGTTTTTTTTTTTTTTTTTTTTTTTGGTACCAGGGATTGAACTCGGGTCCTTGAGCTTGCACAGCAGGCTTCGAAACCACTGAGCTAAATCCCCAGCCCTTTTTCCGTTTTCTTTAATAGGCATCAAGATGATTTTTTACTAGGATAGCTCATATAAACTATCTTTTTCATAGGTTATCACTTAATGAGGAGAAAATCAGTCTAATAGGGCAAATTCAAGAAACTTTGAAGTGGTATTGGAAAGCCACAATTGAGATTGGAATGATCAAACTCAATTTATTAAATTCTTCATTTGACAGTGTGGAAAAAAAATTTTGCCAGCTGTTTCTCAGACAAAGGACTAATATGTAGAATATGTAAAGAACTCAAAAAATCAGGACCCACCCCCAATTTAAAGGTCCAGTCCAAAAGTGGGCATCTGAAAGGAATGCACTTCTCAGATGAAGAAGTAGAAATGGCAGATAAATATATAAAAACAGTTCAACATCACTAGTTATTTGAGAGATACAAATTAAAACAATAGTGAGATTCCGTGTCACTCCAGAAAGTATGCCTGTTATCAAGAAATCAACCAATAACAAATGCTGATGGGGATGTGGGGGAAAAGGAACCCTGGTGGGAGTATAGAGTGGTGCAATCAGTGTGGAGGTTCCTCAAAAAACTAAAACCAGAGGTTTCATTTGACCCAGCCAGTCCCCATTTTGGTATCATCCTGAAAGAAAAGCATCATACCACAGCGATATATACATACCCTTGTTTATGTTGTCACAGTTTGTGATAGCTAATCTTGGAAGCAGCCCACACGTCCATCAACTGATAAATGGACAAAGAAAATGTGTTGTTTTATACAGTGAAATACTACTCAGCCATAAGCTTGAGACATTTCTAACTAAACGGATGCACCTTGAGACCACACTCTCTTTTTTTGGTACTGGGGATCCAACGTGGGTCCTTGTGCTTGCACAGCAGGTGGCAAAACCACTGAGCTAAATCCTCGGCCCCTAGACCACACTCTTAGGTGAAATAAATCGGACACACGTGTTTAAATACTCTCTGGTGTGAGAAACCAAAAGTGGAAATAAGGACCAAAATGTATAATAGATACTGGGAAACGGGAAGAGAACGTCCAATGGGAAGGGGAACGGGGGTGGGGGGAGGGAAAGGAAGGAAGGGACAAGAAAAAAGAATCGAAGGAAAAAATGGAAACAAAGCTTCTGTAAAGAAGGAGGGGAAGAGGAGTTGAAGGGAGGGAGGGAATGGTTAAAAAAGAACCAAGACCCATCATGGACAGGTACGGATTTCCTATGATGAGTGTCATCATTATGTATATCTAGAACGTGCCAGTAAGTGTTTTGCTTCAAAAAAGAGTCTGTTGGTTGAGTCTGGAAATAGGTATAATAGATAACCCAGGAATTCAGCCTTAGAGAGAGGGTTTTAGTTCATTGCAACCTAAGTTTTTTAGCAGTTTGCAATGAATTTTGCATAAGGGTATGAAACAAAGGAAACTTCACCCCTGTAAATACTAATTTTTATAAACTGAGCAGTATTACAGAATGGGAACACTTGTTAATTTGGGAGTATCAATTGGGGTTAATTTGGGGGTGTATGAACTGGGTGTTTGTCACATTGTTATTATACCTTTCTGTGTTTTTTAAACTTCCCAAAGTATAGAAAAGAGAGTATTGAAATAACTGTAGTCTATTGTTTGTAATAGATGCATATTAGTGGCAGTGGGATCCCAGAGAAGAGATTTTATTCATTCTGCAGGTTTCAGGAAAGGCTTTGTGGAGAGGGAGCTGGGTTGATCATCAGCAAAAATGCTTTTTTTTTTCCCTTTCTGGTCATGCAGTGTTCTGAGCATACTCACTTGTTTTAGTTTTATGTATGTTTTTCTGGTAGTTGGTACTCTTTCTATAAAACTAGCAAGAAAATTATTTAAAATCTACACCTTGAGAGAAGGTATTTTAAAGTCTTAAGTGTATTACTGTCCTGCACTAGCAGCAGAGAGGGTGTTGCTCTTCCTTTAAGTAATTGGCTTGTAAACAATGCATCACATGAAACCTGTTCACAGAGATACCAAAATACATCCTCTTTAAACTGTGGGTTATAAGGTGAGCAGACAGTCTCGCTCTTTAGACATATCTTCTTTTTTTTTTAACAACATTGGGCATATGTGACTTAGTGTTTTAATTTTAAAAATTACATGCCTATGTACTCATCAGTGGTAAAATGGGTAAATTTTACATTATCGCAGTGGAGTATTTTAGAGCAGTGCAAACAACAAAGTACAATTGCTTGTAATCCTGTAGATGAATCTTAACAAAAATAAATGTTGAGTGAAAAGCAGATATAAAAAGAGCATATCTGATACATACATCAGTTTATGTAAAGTTGGAAAACAGTAAGGCATATCTGTATGATAAGATAGACTTATTCTTGGGGACAAGGAGACTTCTGCAAAGTGGTACCAGGTGGATTCTGGTAAGCAGATAATGTCTTGATCTGGGTGTTGGTCACATGGATATGTGTTTGATTTGTGAAAATTGATCAAGCTGTCTGAGTTGTGTACTTTTCTATATGTATATTATAATTCAGAGTTCCTCCAAAGGTTATTTAGGTTCTTTTTCTTTTTGCATTTTAAGTAGTAATAATGTCTGTGCATCTTGATTTAAAAGAGGAATGTACCAAAATAGTAGTCCCTTGGGTTAAAGGTAGTTTTACTCACATGACTCAGACACCATTTTGATTTAATATTTGTGAATGTACTTTCTTTTTTCTTGGTGGTGGTACTAGGGGATTGAGACCAGGGGTGTTATACCACTTAGGTACATCCCCAGCTGTTTTTAAATTATTTTACATTGAGACAGTCTTGCTAAGTGGCTAAGTCGCCCAGGCAAGACTCAAACCTGCAATCCTCTTGGTTTAGCCTACATGCTGGGACTGCAGGTGTGTGCCACCACACCCAGCCTGAATACATGCTACACCCTGCTTACATATACACACATTTTAATCATGGTTTTATACAGTGTCAACTACATTTTATAAGTGTATTTAGTTCTTAGATCAATTTTTTTTCTTTTTTTTTTGATACCAGGGATCGAACTCGGGTCCTTGCACTTATGAGGCAGGTGGTGGAACCACTGAGCTAAATCCCCGACCTACTTAGATCAATTTTTTAAACAATGTGATTAATATAGTGGACCCTTGACTTACAAATTCTATTGGTTCCCAAGGGCTGGCTGTAACTCAAGTTGGTTGTAAGTCAATACAGCTGAGATCTGGATGTTTACCTGGGTATGAGCTATAGATAACAAGAGGCAAAATCAGGGTCTTTAATTACTCCAAGTTTTTTGTATGTCAGGCTGGTCGTAACATTTTTTTTTTTTTTTTTTTTTAGACAGGGCCTCGCTGTATAGTTCAGGCTGGCCTTGAACTCACTATGTAATGTAGCCCAGGCTGGCCTCGTACTCCTGGTGATCCTCCTGCCTCAGCTTCCTTGAGTGCTGAGAGGACAGGTGTGCACTGCCACACCTGGCTAGGCCGGTAGTAACTTGAGGTTCCACTATAGTTTTAAATTTAGTTGTGGCCTAGGGGTATAGCTCAGTGGTAGAGCACTTATTTAGGCTAATATGAAATCCTAGGTTCTATCCCTGGCACCACAAAAATAAATAAATTTAATTCTAATTATATTTTTGTCTGTATAAGAATAGTTTTTATTTATTTATTTATTTGGTACCCAGGGATCAAACTTAGGTCCTTCTGGTTGCGAGGCAGGCGGCAGAACCACTGAGCTGAATCCCCGGCCCAAGAATAGTTTTTATTTGTTTTTGGTTTTTTCCAGTGCTGAGTTTTGAACCCAGGGTCTGTTACACACTAGGCAAGTGCTTTACCACTGAGCTATGTCCTCAGCCCTTCATCTCTGATTTATTGATTACTTGAAGGGTCTGTGTCACATTTTATCAATTACAGCTTCTGTATTTGTGAATGTTTTCTCTGTGAGCATTTGTTTATACAAAGTTTATAATTTTCCTAATTCAAGTTTTATGAAATTGAATTTTTTTAATGTAATTGAATTTTACCCACTGAGCTGTGTCTTTTGTCTGTGATTCGTTGATTACCTGTAGGGTCTTTGTCAGATTTTACCAATTACAGCTTCTTTGTGAATGTTTTTCTGTGACCATTTGTTGATAAAAAGTTCCTATAATTTTCCTAATTCAAGTTTTATGCAATTGAATTTTATCAAGACAATTTTCTTCCATTAACTTTAAGAAGACATGTTATTCTATTCAGATTTTGCCATAAATTTATTATTCTGCTTATTTCTGTCTACTTTGCTTTTTCCTGGTTAGTTTTTCTAGTGATTCTCAGACCATGGAAATGGGAACCTCAGTTAGTTTTGTTGCTGTTACTGGCTTGAGCCCAGGGCTTCCACACTGACTAAATCCCTAGCTTTCTTCTCCTTTTTCTTCTTCTTCTTTTCCCTCCACCCCCTCCATTATTTTTAATGAAACAGCCTCACCAAGTTGCTCTGGCTGAGCTCAAACTTGTTTTCCTTCTGCCTCAGCCTTCTAAAGTGCTGGGTTTACTGGAGTCATCACCGTCTCACCTTCAGTTAGTTTTTTGTCCACATTAATTTTCATCTTTTTAAACTAATAGTGGTATTCATTATAAGTAGAATAAAAGGTGATAAATATTTGTTGGTAATTCTTGGAGCAGAAAGCTTTGGCAGGACAGAGCATGGGGTCAGAATGCACTCCAAGGCAAGTGTCCCATTTGTTAACCTCCTGGTCAGTGTGTCTTTGCTTCTTGATTTGTAGGCAGCATTACAGAAACAGCAGGATGTGGCAGTGGCTGGAGCTTCTTTGCCTACTTCGTCAAAAGTGAATGCAGCTGTCCCAAGTGATGTGATGTCCGTTAATGGGCAGGCTCAGACCCACACTGAGAACTCTGAAAAAGAACTTGAGCCAGAAGCTGCGGAAGAAGCCCTGGAGAACGGACCGAAAGGTATGATTTGGCGTGTGTGCTCAACCATTCAGGCCCCGTGCAAAGCAGATGCAGGAGCTTTCATGACCAGCTTGTGAGAGTGATTACGTATCTGAGAGTGAGGATACTTTTTACTCTTTTGAGTCTGAATCTGATGCTTGTGGTGACCTTTAGAATAGTGTAGAAGAACAAATCAGATGTCTGTTGGGCACTCTTATGACCAAAGATATCTTTTATCTTTCTCTTTCTCTCTCATATCAATTACAGTGGTATCTTGGTTCATGAACTTAATTCTTTCCACGATTCTGGTCACAAACTGAATTGGATGAGAACCAAATCAAATTTCCCCATAAGGTCAACATTGAACCTAACCATTGAATTTGATCAGCTCTCCCAAATTGGTTTGTGACCAGAATCATGCAAAGAATTGTTTGTGAACTGAGGTACTACTGTACTTAATGCTGTGTAACATTACACTCATTGAGCAATTTAAAATAATAATAAACGTTTCTTATGAAACCCAGTTTCTGTTGGTCAGGAGTTCAGAACAGCTAAGCTGAATCATGCAGGCTAGGATCTGTCATGAGGTTGCAGTCCACATGTTGGCTGGGGCTGTGGTTATATGAAGGTTTGACTGGGACTACAGGACTTGCTTCCAAAATGGTTCTGTCCCCTGGCTGACAGGTTGGTGCCCCTCCATAGGACTGTGTGAGTCTCAACACACAAGAGGCTGTCGTCCCCGAGAGCACATTATCCAAAAGATAATAAAGCAAAAGCGGCAGTGTTTATAGGCCCTGACTTCAGAAGTGGTCGTTAGCAACTCCCACCATAGTCTAAGCCAAGCCCGTGGTGTCGTGAGGAGCCAGACATTTGGATCTCTGGGCCATCCTGGAGGCTGGCTACCATATACTATTACAGTGTCCTTTTTGACACTTGAAGTATCATGTTGTCCCAATGACTAACCATTTCCAAAACTCTGCTAGCTTCCCATGCACAGTTCATTTATTCAGCATTTGCTTGAAGGTTTTCTGAGCACACGGAATATAGTGATGAGGAAGAATAGTGCACAGAAGATGTAAGTTGTTGTGGTAAGTAGTATGATGGAAAGAGGGGTCATGTAATTACAGCGTGAGATCATGTAACATGTGGACTGCGACCTCGGAGAAGTCAGAGCTGTCCTGAGGAAGGGGACACTGAATGAAGAGGGCTGAAGCAAGAGTAGAATTAAGAGGGAAGAGCAGCACATTGCAGTGACAGTGGTCAGGGGTGGTGGTGTGACTCACAAGAGGCTGCCTGAGTGCCCTGGGCCGGGGGGTTATGCAAATGTTGACGTCTGCAGGGTGGAGGCTTCTTCTCTTCAGCTTTTGTAATTCCTGTTTGCCTTTAGAATCTCTTCCAGTAATAGCAGCTCCATCCATGTGGACTCGTCCCCAGATAAAAGACTTTAAAGAGAAGATTCGGCAGGATGCAGATTCTGTGATTACAGTGGGCCGAGGAGAAGTGGTCACTGTTCGAGTCCCCACCCACGAAGAAGGATCTTATCTGTTTTGGGAATTTGCTACAGACAGTTATGACATTGGGTTTGGGGTGTACTTTGAATGGACAGATTCTCCGAACACTGCTGTCAGTGTACATGTCAGCGAGTCCAGTGACGACGATGAGGAGGAAGAAGGTAGACCCATTGGTTTGTGTTCAGGAGCTGTTGGGTTGTATGTTGGCAAAAACGGTGCACAGTTCACATGTCAGCCAGCCACACACTTCCTGATTAACACTTCATGGTCAGGGAACAGTCTTTTCATTAGACAACTGTCTTAGTTACCCTCTTGTTGCTGGGACAAAATACCTAACACCCACAAGTTAAAGGAGAGGTTTATGTTAGCTCACAGTTTGTAGGGGTTTCAGTCTATTGTCATCTGGTTCCAAGGCAGGGAGGCATTGTAGATGGGCTTGGCAGAGGAGAAACAGTCCATGGCAGGACCAGCAGGAAGAAGCGCTCAAGGAAGAAAGGAATTACAACCTTTCACAGCATGCCCACAGTGACCTACCGTTCCCCGCTAGGCTTTACCTCCCAACACTGCAGCTGCTGCAAACCTGTCAGCATCATACACCATGATCCTGTCACTTCCCAAAATTCCCACCTAGAGTGCGTGAGGCTTTGAAAGGATTTCAAGATAGGAATCAGAATAGCAGCTTTGGCTGAAAAAGCTGAGTGGCCAGCCTTCTTAGAGGCTCAGGGTCTGTTTGGCACTTTACTATTTCACTGGTTTTTTTGTCATTGGTTGGTTGGCTTTTGGTTTTGGTTTTGATTTTTGGTTTTTTGAGACAAAGTCTTGCTATTTATGAAGCCACTATGTACTTCCTGAGTGCTAGGATTGCAGGTGTGTGCCACCACACCCGGTCTATTTTACTGCATTCTGAATACTGTTTTACTTCCAGCCTTATGTATTGAAAGGTCAAATATGTAGGATCATTCTTTTTTTTTTTTTTTGGTACGAGGGATTGAACTCAGGTCCTTCTGCTTGAGCAGCAGGCGCTGAAACCACTGAGCCAAATCCCCGGCCCAGTAGGATCATTCTGGAAAAAGAAAATTTTTTTTTTTTGAGACAGGCTTACTGTATTACCTAGGCTGGTCTTTTTTTTTCCCCCTTTGGTACCAGGGATGGAACTCAGGACTCTGCACTTGCAAGGCAGGTGCGGTACCACTGAGCTAAATCCCCAGCCCCTAGGCTGGTCTTAAACTCCTGCGCTCAGGCAGTCCTCCTGTCTCAGCCTTCTGAGTAGTTGGGACTACAGATGCGCACCACCATGCCCTGTTTTGAAAAATTTTAAAGCCACAAGTGAGGATTTCTTTCTCACTTTACTTGAATTAAACCTTGTACTTTACTTAAATTTATGTTTCTGATAATAGTTTGGTTTTTTTTTGGTACCAGCAATCGAACCCAGGGCCTTGCACTTGCCAGGCAGGCTCTGTGCTGCTACCTACATCCTTGGTTCCTACCGATAATAGTTTTTTAGGTCATTCTAAAATTTTATGTAAATTTAAAAGCTCACTGGAATGTCCTATCTAGGAGTTTTTCAGTTATGCCTCTCCAGAGTTTAAGTTTTAGGGCTGGGGATTTAGCTCAGTGGCGCCACCACCTGCTCTGCAAGTGCAAGGACCCAAGTTCAATCCCCGGTACCAGGAAAAAAAAAAAAGAATTTTAATATAAATAGTCAAAGGTCAGGTGTTTTTAAGGATAGTCTAAACTGTGTCAGTGTAGGAAGTAAGTTATAAAATGTGCTGCTTATTGCAAAAATGTTCCTTGATTCTGTGGGTCAGAAAGGTGCAAACATGGGGCTTGGGTCCGTGTCTAATAAGCATTCAGTTGGAAGTAGTGTGGAGGAGGGGGGCCCAGTCCCAGAATGGGAAAGCGCCATGTCTCATTCCGTGGGACTCAGTGGCCTCTTAGAGGACTTGATGACAGAGTGCTTGTTCTTGAAGAGGGTTAGGGTAAATTTGAAGAGAGATGCTTTTTCCTTTTTGTTTTTTTGAGACAGGGTCTCTCTATGTAGTGCAGGCTAACTGAACTCACTATGTAGCTCAGGCTGGCCTCAAACTCACAGTGATCCTCCTGCCTCAGCCTCCCAAGTGGTGGGATGACAGGCGTGCGCCTCCACCCCCAGCTGAAGAGCTGTTCTTGAAAGTGCGTGAATGGGCATAACAGTTGAGTCCGCTCTGGAGGTTGACAGGTGTTGAATTGCATCACCACACCATGCCACTCTGGGGCCCCCGGGTCATGTATGGAATCACACACACTGGGCACACCATAATCATTTTCTTGAAATTAAATGTAATATTCAGTTTAATGTTGGATATTTGTTTAGTTAGAGACAAGGTCCTGATGTTGTATAGTCCAGCCTGGCCTTGAACTCATCCTCCTGGTTGAACTTTCTGAGTGCCACCATGCCCAGCCCTTAATATTTAATCAATCAGTTTTTATACTGTCCCATTATCTGTATGAACTGTCAGTGTCTCAGAAACTCCAGTACGATTCCGTGCTGACTCCCAGAAGGAGGTGGGAAGACCTTCCTGACAGGTCCACATTTGAGCCCATAAATACAGGAGCACACACTGCCTTGCATTACATGGCATTTTTTTTCCAGCGATCTTTATTCCTAAGTACTACCAGCAAGGGAAAACATTGCCTTACAAATTCTACTAACAGAAAAGAAAAATTATAAAAGTTAAAAAAAAAAAAAACCCAAAAGAGGTGAGGGGTTCTGAGTCAAATGGCTGGCGAGATGCTATTCAGCAACATCCTGTGTGTGGGTTGTTACTTATAACGAGCTTTGTAAGTCATATCCAAGACTTTGTAGGCTAGGAGTGTAGCTCAGTGGGAGAACTTGTGCTTTTGGATATCCAGAGCCCTGGGTTCCATCCCCAGTACTACAAAACAAAAAATAACGTATAACAGGGACAGCAGCACATACCTGTGATCCCAGCCAGTGAGGAGGCTGAGGCAGGAGGATCACAAGTTTGGGGGCCAGCCTGGACAACTTAGCAATCCTGTCTCAAAATAAAAAATAAAAAAGGGCAGATGTGCCTTTGGGTTCAGTCCGCAGTACTGAGGGGAAACATATCCTCCCTAAAAACAAAAGTACAAAAAATGCCCTGTTCAGAGGTCACTTGAGGGAGTATATTTCTCCTGTCTTGCCTGCTAGAGATCTTGAAGAAGGTTGCTCCCTAGTCCAGCCCTCAGCTGATGACAGTTTTTGGGTTATTGATAATGGAAAGGTGCTATAAAAATAGCTGAGCTGGGTTTTTAAAGGTGAGACCCTTGATGCCTTGACCTTATCTCTAATGCGCCCTGCCCCTCCCAGGAGAAATGACATGACCCACCATTATGCCATTCCTAACCCTAACATGACTTGCAGCTGAAGCTAATCATTTAAACCTCTGTTAACAGGAACAGGGCAAGCTGATTGCTTCCAAGCATTGTTCTCTAGGAGTGAATTAACCACATCCCATCAGAAGTTGTAGCTCCCAAATCTTGTTTGTAGGCTTAGGGCATTTGTTCTTCTGCCCTAGGAGGCTACTCTGGATAATGTGCATCTTATGGGGCTTTCCTGTGGCTTGGTTTCAGGTAGGAAAGTCCAGAGTTTTGTGTTTTTGTTTTGTTTTTATGGCATTAGCGATTGAACCCAGGGTCTTGACACTGAACTACATCCTCAGCCCTTTTTTATTATTTTGAGATAGAATCTTGCTAAGTCACTAAATTGCCTAAGTTGTGCTCAAACTTAGATCCTCCTGCCTCAGTCTCTCAGAGTGCCAGGATTACAGATGTACACTACCATGCCAAGCCAGAGTATAGGCTTTTGTCCATTGGTTGGTTGCCTTAGCTTTTCTCCCAAAAGTCTTGAAAGCAGACATTTTGTTTTCTCTGAAAAAGTGTAGATGGTGGCCCATCCTCTTGTTGAGAGTCTCCACTTTATTGTTTCTAGGTCCTAAGTCTTTGCTTAAACTGATAAAAGGTGTAGTGCTCATCTGTTCCAGTAATCTTTATTGAGTAAAATTGGATCTTGGATTAACACGTTCATGACAGGGCCATAATTCATGTGTCTGGCTACTGGGTGGTTCTGAACTGCTGGTGGTACGTACATGGTTGTCCCATTGGGTGCATGATAAGTCGTGTTGGTTGTTGCAAGTCGCTTGAGGTGACAGTGAAGTGGTGGGTCAAGCTGGCAGGAACGTGTTAATGGACGAGAGGCAGTAATGTACTTTTTGAATGGCTCCGTATTTCTCATTTATACATGAACGATCTTTAAAAAATTGTAGGTATTACTACGGTAAAGCAATCTGATTGGACCTACTTTTATATGAGTGTCATGTACTTTTAAAAAAAATAAACTTTTTTGAATAATTTTACATTTATAGAAAATTTAAAGATGGCGCATATTGCTTCTCGGCCTTTTGGCTAAGATCAAGTGTGAAGATGGCACAAAGAGTACCAGTATACCATGCAGCTAGTTTCACCTGTTGTTAATTTCTTTTTTTTTTTTTTTTTTTTGGTACCCAGGATCAAACTCAGGTCCTTGCACTTACATGGCAGGCGGCAGAACCACTGAGCTAAATCCCCGGCCCTGTTGTTAATTTCTTATCATGTATTATGGTACATTTGTCTTAACTAATGAACCAATATTGAAAATTATTATTGTCTAAAGTCCATATTCAGATCTCTTTAGTTTTTAGCTATGTTCCGGGATACAATGCAGGATGCCATATTGTAGTTTACTCTTATTCCCTTCACTTTGTGCAGGTGTGAGTGCTTCGCAGCCTTTCTTGTTTTGAGTTCATGATAGTGTTCATCGACAAGCATCAGCCACTTAATTCATGTCCCAAAAACTCTCTGTGATGTTAAAACCTGAGTCATTTATCTTCTGTGTGGAATATTTCCTTCACCTATTTTAATTGAGGCTGTTCATATTTAATACATTAAACTGAGACTTTAGCTGGACATAATTTTCTCATTCCTGTAGGTTTTAGAGCTATTGTCTTTTTTTTTTTTTAAGGTATTTTCTTTTCTAAGCTCATATCAGAAAACTATTAACTTGGGCAGCCTGTGATCAGAGCTAATTTTTTTTGCCACTTGGATCATCTGTGGGTTTAATAGGCCTAGTAGAAATAATTGTATCTGTAGGGAGTCTCTGAATGCCTCTTTACTGTATTTTTAAAAATTTTACTTTTAGGCCAGGTGTGGTGCACACCTTTAATCCCAGCACTAGGGAGGCTGAGGCAGAAGAATTGCTGCAAGTTCAAGACCAGCCTTGGCTATAAAGTGGGTTCAAAGACAGCCTGAACTGTATAGCAAAATCCTGAATCAAAAGGACAAAAAAATTTTTTTTTTACTCTTTCATATTCAAGATATTACAGAAAGTAATAGGCATCATAAACTACCTTTTCTTATTCCTAAAATGGGGAAGGGGAGGGGAGGGGAGACTCACGTTGTAGAAGAGGAGATCAGAACAATGTTTTGCTAGGTCTTACTTAGATGAACAAGATACCTCCTATTGGGAAGGAATTAGGAATTCAGTCAGTACAGAAGGGGAAAAATGGGAACAAGTAATAGGAATAGTGGTAAGACAGAGAAGACTAGGAGGCTGACTGCTGCCACCATCAGACGTTCAGCACTGAGTTAGTTCCCTGGGCTCAGAACAGTACTGGGTGGGTACACAGCACTGCGCAGGTATGGATGAGTGACTGTGTACACGCTCATCCACATAAGTAATGGAATGGTTCAGGAGAATTCCTAGCAAGCGCTGTTGTTAAAGGAAGGGTGGAGTTTAATTGTTCAATGCAAAGGTCTTTTTTCTGGATCTGTTCTTTGACTTGTCTGTATTCTCTCTCACAGAAAACATCACTTGTGAAGAGAAAGCCAAAAAGAATGCCAACAAACCTCTGCTGGATGAGATTGTGCCTGTGTATCGACGGGACTGTCACGAGGAAGTATATGCTGGCAGCCACCAATACCCAGGGAGAGGAGTCTACCTCCTCAAGTTCGACAACTCCTACTCTTTGTGGAGATCCAAATCCGTCTACTACAGAGTCTATTATACTAGATAAAATTGTTACCATGTCTGGAATCTAGGGTAGGGCAGAGGATGGCGTTTACTTTCTTTTGACCTATGTGGAGCATTGGAGTCAGTGTTTACCGGCAAGATTTTGGTCTGATGGTTTGTGAACTCTTGTTGGGGATCAGGATTTCCTTGAAACTCTTTAGCATTAATATTTTGGGGTTAAGAAGGATTTCTCAGACTCATCTAGCGCTTGGGTGCTGACCAGCAGAAGCACTAGTGGATGTTAAATATTCAAAGTCCCTAAAACAAAACATGCCAGCATCGACCCACCTGGCTGATGCTTAGTTCGCTGCTGCCTGCTCCGTGTATTTTATTGGAGCCATAGACACGGTGCCCTCTAATTTGAAGTGCTTATCTGAATAGTTTACATCAGAGGCAGCTGGCTTTGATTGAAGGTCACCATTATTGCAACTTAAAAACTCAAGACCTCACAGATTATAGTAGAAAGAGAAATTGCCTCAATTTGATCTTGCTCTGAATGACACTATTTTTAGTTTGAGTGCACCTGTTTGTTTAGTTGAGCGTTATATTGTAGAGATTTTCTGAGATAAACTTAGAATATTCAGGTCCAGTAGACAACCGAAGTGTCAGAATACAGAGAACGCCCCAGACACCTTCTCCAGTCTCCACGGGCACTCAGGCCTTTGCTCTCCATCCAGTATTCCTACCACCAGTAGCAAAACAAAATCAATTAATTTTTTGTTTTGATTTGGCTTTATAAAGCATCTCAAATTGAAACTTTTCTGCACAAAGCATATAGCTTGGGATTTTGTAAACTCAAACTGACAGCTACTGAGTTAAAATATATAAAGTCATTTAAAGATAATTCAGTGTTTGGGGAGTACCATTACACTAATATGGGAATCACTGCCAGAGACAGTCCATTTTCTTTTCATTTGTTACTAAGGCACAAACCCTATATGATTCCAGTTGGAGTTATTAGAATTGGAAATGCTTATACTCATGCTTACATTTTATAGCTTTAATCTGTATTATGTCTTTAGTCATGGGAAGAGCTACATCTTTTTCTTACCAAAAGCAAATATGGATTAATTGCCTCAAATTTATGTGGTAAATCTAGAGATTCTTCTTTTCAGAAGGGAGGGTGGTATAGATAGAAAATGACAACACTTAGTGTCATTGTTATGTTGTACTGAAAGACTTAGATTTTTAAAATTTGAAATCATAGAACACTTCTTACAGGAGGGATTCCATGATTAGCTGCAATATAGTTCACTACATACCAGCTGTTGTTGAGGTTTTTGTGTGCTGCATTTCTTGAATACCCGGTTTTGTATGTATCTAACTTTGTTTTCTCTTGGTTGTTCAGAAAACTGGATTATTTTCCTCCCAAACACTGCTTAACTTGTGTCTCTAAAGTCTGATTGAGAAGCAGTCCCCATGCCCACACTGTTAGCTCCAGAACACGCTAGCCCATCCCACAGCTCTCACGCATACATGGCGTAGAAACCTTGGAATTAGGCACTTCCTGGCTTTTTTTTTTAATGAGAAAAATACTGTATTTAAAATGTAAAATAAACTTTTCAAAAGCAGGCACTAATATATATTTCTTCCAGCCTTTGATTACAGATTTGTCCTTGCACATTTAAGGTGAATTACTTTCAAAAAATATTATTCTTGGGAGCAGTGTATGTTACTTTACATAGCAGTGCCTGTCACATGTTAATGTCAGAACATTCTTCGTTTTAAACTTTTTTATTGCCTTTGGCTGTTGATTAGTACAGTACAAATGCAATTTCAAAAATATCTTGAAAGTAATATATTTAACCAATTAAAATGTTTATCTGTAAGTTGTTGATGTTTCGTTAATGTATTACTCTCTGAGACATTAGTACAGCATTTCATCATTTGGGTAGGATAAAGAATTGCTTTTAGGTGATATTTTCTTTTTCTTTTTTGTACCCGGGATTGAACTCAGGACCTTGTGCCTGCGAAGCAGGCGCAGTGCCACTGAGCTACATCCCCGGCTCTTTGGTTTCTTGAGATGAGGTCTCCCTGTGTAATTCAGGGTGGTCTTGAAGGCTCACTGTGGAGCTCCAGCTGGCCTGGAACTCGCAGCAGTCCTCCTACCTCAGCCTCCCAGTACTGGGATTATAGCCATGTGCCACACACCTGGCTGATGCTTTCTGTTTATATAGTTGAAGACAAACACTTTCTGGCTGTGAGCTGACCTTACAAATAGATGGAAAATTTCCCATACTCCCTGCAGTTGGAAGTTTTCTTACTGAAGATGGCTGGGAAGTGTTTCCCTGCACCATGTGTCCAGGGTCTTCTTTGACCTACATGGAAATGGCCTGGGCTTTTTGTTGTTTGGTTTTTTTTCTAGGTTTTTGATAGCGGGTCTTGCTTTGTATTCTAGGCTGGCCTTGAACTCACTCACTGTGTAGCTCAGGCTGCCCTCGACTTGCCAAGATCCTCTGCCTTGGCCTCCCAAGTGCTAGGATTATGGGTGTGCACGGGCGTGGCAAGAGACAGCCTGTTTAAAGTGGCTTGGAGGTGGAGTCCTTGCTCAGGGTGGGCTCTTGAGAGAGCACAGAGCACCTGAAACTAGGCTTCTGAAAGAGACCTCACGCAGTGCAAGCTGACCGGGGATGATGTCTTTGCTTTTGGAATTTGGAGAGGCAGAAAGAGGTGAGCATCTTGGTACCACTGGTGTGGGGCCCAGAAGCCAGAAGCGAGAGCGCTAAGGAGAGCTGTGGGTGTGGGCATGCACTGGGAGCTGCCCTGCCTGCCCTGTCTCGGCCGCCTGTCTGCTGGTTCAGAAGAACAGTGATGCTGAAAATTCACTGGGGCTCAGGCAGTGAGTCTGACTAAGCCTGTCTCTGCTTCATTCCCCAAATTTTGCTCAGTTCATTTCTGTCAGCAGCCTAAAAACATGTTGCTGTTCATCTGCTCCCAGGACAGCAAATCTTACCGGTATCGGACTTGTATCTCACATATAAAATCTGTGGTTCTTCACCTTATTGAAATTTTACTTAAGACTCAGTAGATTGTTTTCCTTCAACTCCTTTACTTTGAATTTATTTTGTTGTCATTACTTCAGATGCTTGGAATTTTGCTTGATTTCTCGTAAAAGAAAGATGATGTGCTACTTTTTTTTTTTTTTTTAAAGTAACCACTTGAAAGTTGTGGTTTGTTGAGTACTTAAGTCAGGATCAGGAAACTAGTGGCTTAATTTCTGTGACTGACACTGGTGTTTGAACTCAGGAAGACATGGAATAGAAGTTAATTTCATTTCTTGGAGCTGAGGTGAAAATCTGTTAGCTTAATTCAACCCTATGATGAACTGGTAACTTACAAGTTGATGTGATGTCTTTTTTTTTCTTTTTGACAAGGTCTTGCTTTGTAGTTCATGCTGGCCTTGAACTCACTGTGTAGCCCAGGCTGGTCTCAGACTTTTGGTGATCCTCCTGCCTCAGCCTCCTGAGTACTTCGATTACAGGTGTGTGGCATCACACCTGGCCACAAGTTGATTTCTGAGAAGAACCCAAGACACATTAGATTATAAGTGCCCATTTTTCTTCTTTTTCTTTACTGTTACCTATTCAGTAATCACAGTTACCCTTTTTCAAGATCAGTTCGTTTTGTGGTACTGGGCATTGAACCCAGGCCCTTGACTCTGAGCTACAACCCGTTTCTTATTTTTCATTTTGAGACAGTCTCATTAAGTTGCTAAATTGCCCAGGCTGACCTTGGTTTGTAATTTCCTGCCACGGTCTCCCATTACTAGGTATAGAGTGCGCCCTACGGCTGGCTTAGTTTTCATTTAAACAGACACTGCCATGTTTTCCCCCAAGGTGGCTGGGCTTCCATTCCCACCAGTTGCGCAGGAGAACCCCTTTTCCCTCTTTTACCACGTGACGGATGAAAAGTGAAAGTACACCTTAAAGTGTGTTTCTGTGACAGGCAGTAGTAAGAGGAAGCATGTTTTGTTGGTCCAGGAAATGCCAGGATCACATTCCCGTTCTAACTGGAAGGTGCAGGGGCACATGCTGAACAGGAAGGGGAACCTGCTTCTGTCCACTCTCAGCAAACCCTTCATCGCAGGGCTGCCCAGCTGCAGTGCCTGGCCAGGTACTTAGCCCAGTGCTCAGCTGCAGCTGCTTGGAGAGATCGTATTCTGAAAACAGATTCCAGTTCGTAGACTGCCTGGGTCAGGTGAGTTTTGAAATACATAACTTTAATTGATTTGTTTTTCTGTTACAGAAGCCATACACACGTAGACATTAGACAGTATCCATATGTGACAAACTATATTGACCAGACTGCCACAAAGAGGAAGATGGAGGCCACCCTGAGCGACTGAAAATTCATACACTGGCTTGTCGTATGAGAAGTCAGAGTCTGCCTGTTAGCCCACAGTGGTAGCCTGAAGAGCCAGCAGCTGGAGTGGGAAGGGAACAGCTCCCCACACCACTGGTCACAGCGGGGGTCTCTGATCCGTGACGCTGTGACGTCTTGGATGGCAAGGCAGTACTGCAGCTAAGGGCAGCATGAGTCATGCACAAAACTCCTTTACAGGCAGAAATTAATCTATGGGTGAAAAATGTCCCGTTAATCTATGAGCTGTTCTTGCTGGAATATTGCATTCCCTTGTTGCTAGGAACCTGCTCAGTGCTCTGCTCCACTATTCCCTGCACGGCCCCGTACCCCTTCTAGACGCCACATGTTCAGTAAGTAGTGGCAGCTCTGGGAGACTGTCAGCCTGGTAAGAGCTTGACCATCCTGGGCCCCAATTGTGCACTAAGATCTTGTCTTTTGTCATCTAGCCGCTGTACCCTGGGTCAGGTGATTGGAGGTCTGATCAGCCTCAGAAAATAATTTTCAGTTATAATGTCATTTGAGCATGAGAAAATGAGCATAATGCATCTCCACCCACACTGGGTGCATTTGCTCTTGTGCTTTTTTTGCTTCGGATCTTATCGGAAACGTTAATGATAGACTTGAGCCCTCTGCACCTTTTCCTGATTACCTTTCGCCTTTCTCCCAGAGAATCATTTTCCTTATTTTGCTGCTTATCCTTTTGGGTGGTTGTAACAGATGTATGATGCCAGGAAAGTAGGTACCATAGTTTTGCATTTGAGTTTTATGTAAAATTATTTCATTTCTTGTTGTGTGATCAACATTTCATGATTAGATGTGCTTAGATGTGTCTTATCATAGGGATAACATCACAGCGTGGTCTGTCTGTCATTGCATATTGAAGAGCTCCCCTAGGTTTACACTATTAGAAACATAATGTGCCTGCTTACACCTGTGTGCTAGTTTCTCTTTATACTGCAGAGTGATGGCACACACCTGTAATCCCAGCACTCGAGTCTGAAGCGGGGCAATTGCAAGATTGAGCCCAGCCTGAGCAATTTAGTGATATAGCAAGACATTGTCTCCAAAACTAAAACAAGGGGTTGTAGTTCAGTATGAAAGCCCAGTTTCTCTATATACCAAGAAATGGAAATACTCAGGGCCAGGGATTTAGCTCAGTGGTTCCGCCACCTGCCTCGAAAGTACAAGGTCCCAAGTTGGATCTCTGGTAACAGCAACAACAAAAAATTCATAAGTTTGTGGACCATCAAGTATTGTAGAGAATGCAAAAGTGCTCTTCAGAGCTGGGTGCAGTAGTACATCCCTGTAATCCTAGCTACTCAGGAGGCTGAGGCAGGAGAATTACCAGTTTGAGACCAGTATGGGCAACATACTGAGTTTGGCTCAACATAAAAGAATGAAAATGACTGGGGCTGTAGCTCAACGCCAGATAGAGTCCCCAGTACTGGAGAAAACAAAAAACCTGTTCTTCCAAGATTGTACCAATGCAAACATCCAGTAGCCACACACAAGGGTCCCTGTGTAGCAGATCTTTGCTGACAAGTTAGAGTTTGAATTTTCCCAATCTGTGCTACCACACAGAATCTCATCTGCAGTTTAATTTGTATTTCCTCAATAGCCAGTGAGGACAAGCATCTTTTTGTAGGGAACAGGGGAAGGACACGTTGCTAGGATTTCTGCAGTGAGTCCTGGTCTCCTGTGAGTCACAGCAGCACGAGACGAATTCACTTATTACACAGGAAAGGTAGGAAAACAGACTGAGAAGAAGCTGAGCTCTGGGCCTGATCCGTGCTGCTCTGGGCGGCAAAAGGCAAAGCCTCTGAGCTTGCTGCTTTTTTTTTTCCCCATTAAGTTTATTGGTCCATTTTTGGTGTAAAATGCAGGTACATTCATCACTGGGATCTTGTACCTGTACGTGAGTGTCTTGGTTATTTTCCCCCTTCCGCTGCCATCCCTTCACCCCCTCCACCCTTCCCTATTTGCAAAGACTTTGTTTCCATTTTTTTCCTTTTCTCATATTTTTTCTTTTCCGTTTTTTCCTTTCCCCTACCCATCTCACTTCCCCTGCTCCTTTAGACCTTTACTTCCTGTTACACAATATCAACTATACGTTTTAAAAATTACAATATCAAGATCTAGGAGACATTACCACAGATTTTACAGAATTTAAAAGGATATAGAAAGCATATTACAAACATCTTTTGAAATAAAGTTGAT